AAGGTGGGACATAGCAGAGGGTCGGGGATGGGGAATCAGGGATGGCAAGACAAAGGGCAAGGTATGCAGGACGTAAGAATTGGAAAATTATTTGCTGAGAACATATATGTGGATGTACTTGATTGAGACAATGCACAGTGTATTTTGGATGGAAAATTCATTTGTGTGTTGTGATGGTGTAAAGTGAATTAATAAATAAATTAAAAAAAAAAAAGAATTCCACTCCAGCACTGTAAATAAAGATATCCATAAAACAAAAAATAAAGAAATTAAGGCATTTGCCTGGAAAAACAAAAGCTTAAGAGTATATGCTAGGGGGGCCCAAAAGATGGCAAAATGGTTGCATCACTGTACTCCCACATAGTCAACCATGGTTTGCATCCCAGACCTGGTGACTTAATCCTCACACTGGGCGCATGTGTATGCATGCCCAAGATCCTGAGAGGAGGGTAAGGGAGAAGGGATTGCTGCAGTGTGGCCATCTCTCCTGGGGGTGGGGATTTCTCACTTTCTGTCTCTCTGTCCCTCTCTGTCCCTTCAGTGAGTACATGCCCCCTTAAGCAAAAATCTCTCTTAAAAAAGAAAAGAAGTATATGCTAGGGTTTAGGATTTGAACCCAGACTTTCTAATCTAAACTTTTTTTCTTCTAATCTAAACTTTTAAGCTCGACAGTTTTATTTACTTTATCTACTATATTTGCAGTAATGCTCACATACTCAAATATCCACAGTGATGAGACAAGTGATAAAAATTAGGGCAGGAGTAGGCAGTAAGAAGAAGGGGGGCCATGATAGAAAGAAGAGGTGAAGGCCAGTGTCTGGAGGTAGCTTCTGCCAGTTGTTGGCACTGTGAGATGGAGATGTTACAGCTACAGTTTTTGTTTTTGTTTTAAATCAAGAGAAATCAGACATCTAGAATTTTGTATGACATTTCTTACTTTAAAATATGTTCTTTGGGCCAGAAAATTGACAAAAAGGAAAAAACAACCTGCAGTGTTTGTCTAAATGTACAAACCAGAGTAGAATGCTGCAGGGGTTCCATGGCGCCTCGGTGCTGGGTCCTGACAGCCTGGCAGGTGAGATGGGAGCTCTCAGTGAACTGAAGGCATGGCTGGGAGCAGCACCAGGTGAGCTCGGAATGATGGTTCTGGAGCCAGACCATCCCCAGTAGAACCCCAACTTCCTTACTTCTCGCTATGCCTACTTGGGAACATTTGCTCACTGGTGTAATTCTCTCTCTTCCTTAGTTGTTGTAAAGACTAGTTCATATATGAAGATTATATATATATATAAGAGACAGAAAGCGAGAAATCATCCCCCGGGGGGATGGTCACACCACAATCCCTTCTCCTCCATTCTCCTCTGGGGATCTTGGGCATGCACGCACACGAACCCGGTGTGAGTTCTAAGCCACCAGGTCCGGGATGCAAACCACAGTCGTCTACGTGGGAGTCCAGCGACATAGCCATTACGCTAACTGCTGGTTCCCAGTCCTTGGATAGATTTTAAAGGCAAAAACTAGAAATGGGAACAGAGAGGGGGCAAGGGAGTTATACTAATACTAATAGTTTTTTTTTTTTTTTTGGAGAGGTTTTTGCTATAGGGCACGTGAGCTCACCAGACAGACAGAGAGGGACAGAGAGACAGAAAGTGAGAAATCACCCCCCAGGGGGGATGGTCATACCACAATCCCTTCTCCTCCATTTCCTCTCGGGATCTTGGGCATGCGCACTCACATGCCCAGTGTGAGCTTTAAGCCACCAGGTCTGGGATGCGAACTGCGGTCGACTACGTGGGAGTCCAGCGGCATAGCCATTATGCTAACTACTGGTTCCCACTAATAGTTTTGAGGTCATTGTCCTTGACTGCAAGCATCGATAACGGGAGGTTTATCAATCCAGGTTTGGACAGGCAGACTCTGGTCAGCTGTCCTTGAAGAAGCAATCCTTGTCAGGCTGCAGTGGTCTCTGTGCAAGGTTATGGTTCTGGCAAAACCCTCTAAATAAGTTATTGTGTCAGACCAGCTAACATGAGAAAACACCACCTTCATGGCGTCCCCAGCCCAATTTAGTAAGGACCGACACAAATGACTCCATTTTCATTCTGAAAAACATTCACAAGAAGCTGCTACCATCTCTACTTGAGAATATTGCTCCATGATAAAGTCAGACCACCCTGTCCACCTGGACCCTCATTTCCCAGGAGGGATGACCCGGTCCATCCATCCAGAGGTACTAGTGCCACCTCAGCTCGAGACCCTCTCCTTCACCAGGATGTCGTC